ACAGAAATGCTCTCAGGGAATGAAGGCTGGTGGACATAATCTTTACATTCTCCCTCTCCCTCACTCCAGCTTTCCGGCATTTTCCAGAAAGGAGCCCATATCCTTGTCTGGTGCCCTGATTTCTGCAGCAGCCACCAGGGGACACCTCTATATCAACTGGCTCTGAAAGCCAGCAGGGCTTACACTCGTGGGTCCCACAGGACCATACCCAACAGAGAAAGTGTTCTTAAACAGCTACCACCTTGAGGACACAGCAAGCAGCAACAGACCCTGGAGCTCAGTCTGTCTGTGAACGAGGCCTATAAGCTTATCAGAATAGCTGCAATGTGAGGCACAGGCTTCTAATTAAGCACACATCAGGGGACTGACTGTAAACCTTTTCAAAGACCTTGGAAGGCAGGTGTTCTCTTCACTCTCTGTGCTGTGCTCCAGAGCGCCAGCATCTCTGGGAGGAGAGCTTTTACATGTGGCCGATGCCACAGATTTTATATCTGGTGACCACTCCTTCAAGACAGGGAAAGGTAGGTGTTTCACCTAATACACAGTAACAGACACAGAGAGTCAAGCAAAATGAAGAAACAGAACAATGTGTTCCAAATGAAAGAATAAGAGAAGACCTCAGAAAAAACCTTAATGAAGTGGAGATTAGTAATTTACCTGATAAAGAGTTCAATGTAATGGTCATAAGATGCTCACCAAACTTGGGAGAAGAATAGATGAACGCAGTAAGAACATCCATAGCGGTAGAAAAATATAAGAAAATACCAAACAGAGCTGAGGATTACAATAACTAAAATGAAAAACACACCAAATGCATTCATCAGCAGACTAGATAAAGTAGAAGAAAGCATCAGTGATCTCGAAGACAGGACAAAAGAATTCATCCAAGTAGAGCAGCAAAAAAAAAAAAAATTTGAAAAAGGGAAGATAGCTTAAGGGACTTATGGGATAACATCAAGCAGAATAACATTTGTGTTTTAGGAGTCCCAGAAGGACCCCTATAACACAAATGTGAAACACGTCTACTTCAAGAAAAAAGAAAATATCTCAAATAAACAATCTAACTTTATGCCTCAAGGAACTAGAAAAAGAAGAACCAGCTAAAGTTAGTAGCAGGAAAGATGTAACAAAGATCAGAGTGGAAATAGATGAAATGGAGACTAAAAAGACAATAGAAAATATCAATGAAACTAAGAGTTGGCTCTTTGAGAAGATAAACAAAATTGACAAACCTTTAGCTAGACTCTCCCACCCCAGCCAAGAAAAGAGAGAGGGCTCAAATAAGTAAAATCAGAAATGAAAGAGGAGACGTTACAACTCATACCACAGAGATACAAAGGATCTTAAGAGATGACTGTGAACAGTTATATGCCAACAAATTGGACAACCTAGGAGAAACTGGTAAATTCTAGAGACATACAGCCTTCCAGGACTGAATCGTGAAGAAATAGAAAATCTGAATAGACTGCTTACTAGGAAGAAATTGAATAAGTAATCAACAACCTCCCAAGGAACAAAAATTCAGGACCAGACAGCTTTACTGGTGAATCCTACCAAACATTTAAAAAAGAATTAATACCAATCCTTCTCAAACTCTTCAAAAAAATAAATAAATAAAAGAGGAGAGAACACTTCCAAGCTCATTTTAAGAGGCCAGCATTACCCTGATACCAAAACCAGACAAGGACACCACAAGAAAAGAAAATTACAGGGCCATAGTGGTCTAGTACATTCCACATTTGTTTCTTTTATGGTCTGAGGTGCCAAAAGCTGATAACCACAACTAAAACTGAACATAATTCTTGACCAAATCCCACATAAGTGAGGGCCCAGTGACAACCCTGTCCCAGGAAAACCTCAAAGAGTATCCAGACTCCCTGATGCCAAGGAAAAGGACATGAATGAAACTCTGCCCTGCTCCCCACTCAAGGGTCTCTCACTGATAGGACTTCATGGGTCTTCACCACCTCCTCCCCCCACCCACACCAGGACAAGGGGCAGTGGTGCAACAGGAAACAGCAGTAGCTAGGACTTGGCCAACCTAGAAATTGAAGCTACCAAGGAACATCCAGATCGAGATCAAAGCGCTTCAATCATCTGAGGATCCGCCCCTAAAAGTAGTGCCATCTCAGCGAAATTGGAGGTGGAGTTACATGTGTGGCATTATCAGTCACGAGCTATAAAGCTGAAAGAAACTTGGCTAAACCATCAATACTTTAAAAATGAATTTGACTGACCATCCTAAGAAAAGACTGGATTATTTTTTTATTCTCCCCATTGAAAACATTATAAAACAGGGCCATAGCTCTGATGACCATAGACACAAAAATCCTCAGCAAAATGTTAATAAACTGAATTCAACAACACACTAAAAGGATCATATGCCATGATCGAGTGAGATTTATTCCAGAGATGCAAGTTTAGTTCAGCACCTACAAATCACTCAACATGATACACCATGTTAACAAACTGAAGAATAAAAATCATATGATCATCTCAATAGATGTAGAAAAAGCATTTGACAAAATTCAACATGTATTTATAATAAATACTGTCAACAATGTAGGTATAGATGGAGCATATCTCAACATAAGAAAGATCATATATGACAAACCCACAGCTAATATTATACTCAACGGTGAAAAGCTGAAAAACACAAAAATCTCCACTCTTGCCACTTTTCTTTAACATGGTATTGAAAGTTTAAGCCAGAACAATTAATCAAGAGAAAGAAATAAAAGGCATCCAAATTATAAAGGAAAAAGTAAAACTGTCACTGTTTGAGGAAGACATGATTTTATATATAGAAAACCCTAAAGATTCTGGCAAAAAAACTGTTAAAACTAATAAATTCAGTAAAGTCTCTGGATGCAAAATCAATATACAGAATTCTGGTGCGTTTCTCTACACTAACAATAAACTATGAGAAAGAGAATTAAGAATAATTTCTAACAGTTAAGAAATTAAGAATGATCCCATTTACATTTGCTTCAAAGAGAATAAAATACCTAAGAATAAAATTAGCCAATGAGTTGAAAGACCTATATGTTGAAAACTACAGGACATTAATGAATGAAAATGAAGACACAAGTAAATGGAAAAATATTCCAGTTCTCATAGATTGGGAGAATTAATATTAAAATGCCCATAGTACCAAAAGTAATCTGCAGATTCAATGCAATCCATATCAAAATTCTAATGGCATTTTTCACAGTAATAGAACAAGCAATCCTAAAATTTGTATGGAACACAAAGACCCCGAATAGCCAAAGCAGTCTTGAGAAAGAAGGATAAAGCTGGAGACATCATGCTCAAATTATATTGCAAAGCTATGGTAATCAAAACAGTATGGTATTGGCATAAAAACAGACACATAGATTAATGGAGCTGAATAGAGAGCCTAGAAACATAGCCACACATATATGGTTAATTAATTTATGACAAAGGAGCTAAGACTGTAAAATGGGAAAAAACAGTCTCTTCAATAAATGGTGTTGGGGAAAATGGATGTCCACGTGCAAAAGAATGAAACTAGACTGCTATCTTACACCCTACACAAAAATTATCTCAAAGTGGATTAAAGACTTAATGGAATGTAAGACCTGAAACCATAGAATTCCTAAAAGTAAACATACATGGTAAGCTATTTGACATTAGTCTTGGTGATGATCTTTTGAATCTGTTACCAAAAGCAAAAATACGCAAGTGGGACTACATCAAACTAAAGAGCTTATGCATGACAAAGGAAGGTATCAACAAAATGGAAAGGCAACCAAATGAGTGGGAGAAAATGTTTGCAAATCATGTATCTGGCAAAGGGTTGATATGTAAGCTGAGCCTGGAAGGAACCCTAGGCTTTGAATAGAGAGGGCTTTTGAAGCAGGAGTGAGAGCATGGTCAAAGGCACAGGATGTGAAGTATTTTTAGAGGACCTTGATTCATTTCCGAGAATGGTCTGTTTCATTTATGGTCCTCAGGAGAATTTTTTCTCCATGAGTTACGCAGTGGATCAAGTTTCATCTGGGTGATTCATGGTACAGAGTCATAGTGTCTGATTTATTTGGAGACTGAAGTATATGCTTCCCATCTTTCCCTTTAAGAATGTAGGTGTCTTATAAGCAGACATTGAGTCTTTGATTTTCATCATGGAATACATATCCTTAACACATAGTGCTTAATGAAGTAACATCCATAACCATAATTGCATGACATGCTCTAAAAAAAACAAAAAAAAACACAGGTGGTAACAACAGCACAACCGAAATGAAAAAGTCATAGCGTGGCTCAGTCTGTAATGTCAGGATCTGAGCTTGTGTGCTTTTTACCAGTTCCTGGAGTGCGTTTTTGATGAACCATCTATTCTGGGTCATCCAGTCCCCCTTTTAATCTATGATGCCCATGTGTGAGGAGCTCGCTTTCTAGGACTACACATAAAGAGGGTGGCATAACCAATTTCTATCTGGGAAAATTTAGTTGGGCAAATACAAAACTAATTCTTTAACCTTATTCTCATCAGCTTCATGGTATAATTAAGTGGAAGTTCCTGGTCCTTCTATAAAAATCAGTAGTGTTCTCTTTAAAGCATTTACCAGAGATTGAAAAGATGAAATAATCCTGAACAGGCACTAATGGACTTATCATTATTACTTGAATTCGTATTCACCTGCTAGTATTATTCAGTCATGAATCTTCATCTCTGCATAAGAAGCCACCTGGTTTAGTGGAAATCATTCATACATTAGAGTCAAATCAGCCAGGATTGAAAATCTGTTACCTTCTGTTTTTTTAATGACAGATTACTTCAAGGTCTCTGATCCTTGGTTTCCTAGATAATAAGAGATTAATAATAGAACGTACTTGATGAGGTTGTAATGAGGATGAAATTAATTAATATATGAAGTCCAAGTTAACACTTAGTAACCAACAGTGCCTAGTAATTATTTTCTTATAATATTTAAGAAACAGTTTCTTAAAAGTCATCCCCTGTGTGCCTTTTCTAGCATGAGAAGCTGATACATGAATTGGAAGAGGAGAGACACTTACGTCTTCAGAGTGAGAAGCGCTTGCAGGAGGTGACACTGGAGTCCGAGAGGAACAGAATTCAGATGCGTGGCCTGCAGCAGCAGTTCTCCAGGTATTGTTCTGCGTGGAGCATCTTGTTTCAGGAGGTGCATCTCTCCCTGTGCCAATTACACCTTTGCTTGAGTTTCCATTGTGTAAGCTTGTGTTGCATTTGAGGAGCTAATGACCAGCAATTTAGACCTTCTCTTCTAGCCAAACCATCCGATTGCATTTGGACCAATTTTCTGGAACTTTCCGCTTGCACCTCAGTCTTGGCTTTATTGAAGCTGGTTGTCTTTTCTTCCCCAATGGCTTTCCAAAGTATCTTTCAGTGAGATGTGGTGGTTGTGTGGCCTATTGGCATGATCTGTGAACGGCCAGCCAGGAGAATGCAATTTTACTGGTCCTCATAATCCTATTTTCAGGTAGAAAGAATGTGAATCGTCCAGTAAGCTCTTACTCCTTATTTACTCCTTATTTAGAATAAATATTTAAAATCTTTAAAAAAAAATCAAAATCAATGAGTTTCTTTCCTTTAAAAAGACATAACTTGAATTTGAAAGGATTCTGGAAAAGTAGCTCTTCTTTTATTTAATTCCAGCACAGTAAGAATCTTTCAGCTTTCAATTACAGTTAATAGGGGGCCAAGGACTTCCCTGGTGGCACAGGGGTTAAGAATCTGCCTGCCAATGTAGGGACACAGGTTCAATCCCTGGTCTAGGAAGATCCCACATGCTGCGGAGCACCTGAGCCTGTGCGCCACAACTACTGAGCCTGCGCTCTAGAGCCTGCGAGCCACAACTACTGAGCCTGCGCTCTAGAGCCCGCGAGCCACAACTACTGAGCCCGTGAGCCACAACTACTGAAGCCCATGTGCCCAGAGCCCACTCCGCAACAAGAGAAGCCACCGCAATGAGGAGCCCGCACACCGCAAGGAAGAGTAGCCCCCTCTTGCCACAACTAGAGAAAGCCCGCGTGCTGCAATGAAGACCCAATGCAGCCAAAAATTAACTAATTAATTAATTAAAAAAAATATATATATATATGGGGCCAGGTAAAGATTCAACCTGTTATTTAAAATCTCTTCATTTTCATGGAAGAAACACAGACTTGTGCAGTTACAGTCCTGGGACCAGATACGGGCACCCTATGAGGAACAGTTTGCTTTTATTTTCATGTTTCACTTCACCATTTGCAAAACCAGGAAAATAATTTTTGATTCTTTTCTCCTTCATGAGGTTATCCCAGGCAGAATCCAGTTTGAGACGTTGCCCTAAAATTTTCTTCAGCAAACGGGGTGGGTCTTATCTTTCATTTACCACTGGGATTTGGATATGATGGGTGATGGATAATTGTGCTTCCTCATTGATGAGGCTTTTATATTGACAGCATAATTTTTAGGTGTGTTGCAGGGACAGAGCAAAGTTGAGCCTTTGGATGATTTATCTTATGGAGGCTCACACCACGAATGTTTGGAATTTTGGTTTAAAGGCATTTTGGAAGAACAGGGTAGGAAGGATGGATGACTCCTCGGTTTCAGAGTCATAATTTAACAGCCTGTTCAACTTCTTGGAGCCCATGATAATACAGGTGCTGTAGAAATGCACCAGTCAATACTTTAACAAATGCATGTCCCACCCCTCACAGGCTATTACTTATACAACCTTGTGCTCAGTTTTTCATTCTATTCGATGGCAAATCTCACTTTATGTCTCCAAACTTGAAATAATAGCTCCTCCCCACTCTCCGAAGCAACTTAAAAACAAGTACCATTTTGTAATGCTTGCCATTTCTTTGGTTTTTTGTTTGTTTTTTTTTTTTTTTGCGGTACACGGGCCTCTCACCGTTGTGGCCTCTCCTGTTGCGGGGCACAGGCTCCGGACGCGCAGGCTCAGTGGCCATGGCTCACGGGCCCAGCCGCTCCGCGGCATGTGGGATCTTCCCGGACTGGGGCACGAACCCGTGTCCCCTGCATCGGCAGGCGGACTCTCAACCACTGTACCACCAGGGAAGCCCGATACTTGCCATTTTAATGATACAAGAAAGGAAGGTGCAGATCTTGCTACCCTTGTACTGTCTAATTGAGATGTCTCTGTACTCAAGCTATTGATTTACAGGGCGTGAGGCACCCGGCACAGTAAATGGCTTTCATACGACGCCAGGTCATCTGCTATAAATCACATGACAACCCCATACAGCTTTGAGTTGCACAAGAGCCGAGGCTACATTCTAGGTTAAAAGAGAAGATAATTATTTGTAAAACAAATAGTGGGTGGTTTTACATACTGCCTTTGTGAAGATTTTTTGCCACAACGTAATCAGTTTTCTTAGTAAGCTTCATTGACATTGAAAGTTCAAGTCCAGTTATAGCCAGACAACTAATGTAAATCAGCAAAAGATGGGGGGAGAAAGGCTATGTAACAGAGAAGATAATTACACGATAATTTAAGTAGACCCACTAAACCATTGCTGATGGCCTTTTACCTTTTAAACTTCGGTTTGTAAGATGTTTCTAGTTAGGCTTATCCAAGCAATCCTGTTACTATAATCTAAGTCTTTGTAAAATTCTCGGTATTACAGAGCTTGTCTAGAGCATGTCACCCTTGGACATGGTCAGTATCTAAATGCTCATGTAAATAAGTTCTATAATCCAAATAATTGCATTACATTTAAAACTTTTATAGTCATAATTTTCTCCTTCTTTTCCTGGGTTGACAAGTTCCTTTTGTACATGATGATATCTGAGATGTAATGTAGGCATACTTTGAGTATTGTTCATGGGATGAGTTTACTTTTTAGAGTAATGTAATAGCCTACCTTTTCAAAGGGTGCGAAGTGACTTACAAGAAAAGGTAGTTTTACGGTAAGGCTGTTAAAATAAAAACGGAAAATAAAGACCGTGAAAGGGGAATGTGGTGAGTAATCATACTTACACAGCCCAGCATGCTTTCTGAGAGTGAACATTTAATTTAGCTCTAAGATTCATGGCAGACAAGATTAAAAGGAAAACACAAGAGGATATGTAATCCTAATCTCGTAGACAAAGGCTACTACTCCCTAAAGAGAGAAACATTATCTTTGGCAATAAACTCATAGTAGAATGCATCTCATAGGCCCCTCCAGAGATGGCATTAAAGGGTATAATAGACAGTGGTCCACGATAGTGCAAATTAGGATTAATTCGTAAAAGTATTACTGCTTCTGCTACGTCACTTACGTCTATGAAGTTAAGTAATTTCACACTATATGATTTAGGAATTCTGGGTCTATGCCTAAGTGAAAACAAGTAAAGCAGGAAGAACTCCAGTGCTAAAGGTTCTCAAGTTAAGCACTATACTTCAAGTTCATGGGGTCATGTAAATATACATGTGTTGTATTTTTCCAGTACCTCTTTTATGAACCTAGGGCACAGAGGCATGAGATGCTGAGGCCTGGGCTGAGTTGGGTAAGGTATTTTTCTGGTATGTTTGATAGTACCGTAGCCATGGGAGCATCTAAATAGTAGTCAAGGAGATTCTGAGCCTCAGATTCAGGGCTGATGTGAGGCATTGAAGGGGAAAACGAATAATGAAGTTAGAAGCTGGGGCAATTAGGTATATGTGTGAAGTAGAATTCAGGTGTCAGAATGAGCGATTCAGAATTCCTTTGGGGCTTGATTTTATGCAATTTCAGTTAGGTGATGGGCTTGGTGGCTTAAACGCACTAGGCAAACCTGAGTATTTGTGATTTACCTGTGGTAAGGAGTAATGAGATCACTTAGGTGATAAAAATCTATGAAAGCGTTTAAATGAGTAGTTCTCTTGCATGTCATAACCAAACCTTCATCCATAAGCCCTTCCTCCTCCTGACCTCTGATTAGGATATAATGATCAGCAGCGGTCCAAAATTTGGGCAATTAAAAAAAATGTGACTAGAGGTTACATAATTAGCTCTAAGCTCATAAATCAGAAATTGTCTTCGCTGAGGGTGATTCAGGCAGCCATAACAAACTTAATTTAGACCATTTACCTTCTTTAATGTAAATACAGAGAAGAAAAAGGATACTTTCAAATGAAGCCTTCCCCATAGATGAAGGTATGAATCAAGACAGATGCAGTAAGGTGGTACTGAAAGGCAGGTGTTGGTATCATTCACGCTGCTCCTTCCTTCTCTTATTATTTGGTGATATAAATCAAAGATGCTTTCCAGATGTCATAATGATTGTTTAACCCATTGCCTGTGTAGTATACGTGGCTGGGCATATTTTATGTGGGATTCGCTTTGTGATTCCCCCCTGTATTCCATAACTGTCTTTATCCTCCCTTTAACCATTTTGAAGTGCGATTGTCGAGCCAGCTAAGGTCAGTGGGGCGAACTGAGGCTATGTATGTAAAGATAATTAGTGTTTGAACCCCCAGCTTCATTACTCCACCTTGAGTGAATGAAATGTTTGTGCATCAATTAGATTCCAGGGAGAGTGTCTCCAACCAGCTGGGGTGTATTGAGATGGAGTAACAATGATTTCTAAAACACAGACTTCTGAAGAAATAAGCGACTCTACAGAGTTGATTTCATGCAAACCATGCATGATTTGCACAAGTATTTGAGTTGGTCCCTTTGGAAACAATCTAATCAATGTGTAGGCTATTACTGAAAGCTGCTGTTATATAGGACAGTCAACTGCTTTTATTGTGTGCACAATAAGATAGAACATGGTATGTATCCTCAAAAAATGTAGACTCCAGATGGAGAAGCCGTATGTACGTATATGAGCCAAACAACACATTTATAGTTTAGCTATAAATGAAGGGAAATTTTGTCTAAATTCTGGACAGCCAGACTTCATAGTTGTTAATAGTACGTTGTCGTGCAAAGGCATGAGTCAAATCAGATGAAATTAATGATTGGGTAGTGACACTAGCAATAATAACACACGTGTTTATCATGTGGCAGCTCTGTGCTGCAGTATATTTGAAGCTTTGAATTAGAATCAACCTGGTACTCTCACCATCAAGCAGACATGTTTTGTAAAAGATATGCAGTTAGCAAACCACATCACACCCAAAGCATCAGGAATCAATCATTGTTTCCCTG